GTCCAAGCCCGAGCACAACAACTCCAACAACCTGGCGCCGTGCGGGCCGGGCGCGGGGCCGGGCGCGGGGCCCGGCAAGTCCAGCAAGAAGAAGAACCAGAACATCGGCTACAAGCTGGGCCACCGGCGCGCCCTGTTCGAGAAGCGCAAGCGGCTCAGCGACTACGCGCTCATCTTCGGCATGTTCGGCATCGTGGTCATGGTGGTGGAGACCGAGCTGTCCTGGGGGGCCTACGACAAGGTACCGGCCCGGGGATGGAGGGGTCGGGGGGGGGTCCCCGGCCCCGCAGCGCGCGCCGCCCCGCCTCCCAGCGAGGGGCACAAGTGTGCGTGTGGCTTGAACTCCGGGCCCTGCGCGCCCCGGGCTGGGGCTCGTCCTGTCCCGGGCGCCCGACCCCCCCCCCCCCCCCCCCCCCCCCCCCCGCCTTCCGCATGCCCCTTCCTGGCCTGGGGCTGAGGCGCCGTCCACTGCGGGTCTCCTTCCTCCCCAAGCCTGCCCCCGGGCTGACTTTGAACCTGGATCCTGAGGAACCGGGCTGCGCCCTCTCCCCCCCCCCCACACACACCACCTCACCCCCTCCAGGGCAAAGAGGGGGGGACACTAGCCTGGGGGCCAGCTCAGCAGGCCGGGCCGGATAGCCAGCTGGAAAGAAGGATGGATGGGAGGGAAGGAAGACGGAAGGATGGAAGGGACGAAGGAAGGATGGATGGGAGGAAGGTTGGAAGGAAAGAAGAAAGGATGGAAGGAAGGAAGAAAGGATGGAAGGAAGGAAAGAAGAAAGGATGGAAGGAAGGAAAGAAGGATGGCTGGAAGGAAGGAAAGAAGGATGGCTGGAAGGGTAAATGCAAGCCAGCGTGCATGCATGCGTTCTCTCTGACAAAGTCTCCTCTCCGATGTTTTGCAGGCGTCCTTGTACTCCTTAGCTCTGAAATGCCTTATCAGCCTCTCCACGGTCATCCTGCTCGGCCTGATCATCGTCTACCACGCCAGGGAAATACAGGTAACGGGGACAGAAGCGTTGGCCTGGCCTCTCTCGGTCTCTCTCTCTCTCTCTGTCCCTCTCTGTCCCCCAGCTGAGGTTATCAGAGCCGGTGCTGTTCTTAAATCACCAACACCTGACCGTGCTTCGGAGAGGTTATTAGGAGAAAAACAAAGCCAGGCTGTGGTAAATACCCACCCAGGATGGGCAGTGTGTGCATTTTGAAGAGTTTCCTGGTCTTCTCGGGGTAGATTTGCCTCGCCAGCCCCGCCGGTTCCTTAACCTGGACGCCGAGCACCTTCTTGAGACGTCGTTTCCTAACGAGCAAGTCATTCTGTGAGACAAAGTTACTAGGTTCGAGACCTTGCTAGCTAACTCGGGTGCCCGGGAGGAGAGTCCGAACCCTCTCCTGCATCCTTGGCTTTTTGGTTTTTGGGGTTTGCTTTTTTTAAAGTTTAGTTTACAAATTCTGTGTGTGTGTTGTACTACACTCGTCCGTCCTTAACGACAGTCATTCAGTGATTATTCTTTAGCCTCATTTAAGAGTTAAAAACCACTGGCCAGACGCCGGTGGCTCACGCCTGTAATTCTAACTCTGAGCTCTGTCTGGGAGGACCATGAACGGTTCAAGGTTCAAGGCCTGGGTAGAAATGTCCGAGAGACTCCATCTCCAATTAACCAGCAAAATGCTGGGCTGGAAGTGCGGCTCAATTGGTAGAATGTCAGCTGTGAGCAAAAAAGCAGATCAGAAGTACACACACGTACAAATCCTTTGTAAACCATCTTGACTGGAAAATACTTGTGCTTTTTCAAATGCATCCTGGAGCATCACTGTGTATTGTCTGCTACTGACAACCAGAACACTGTGTATGTATGTATATGTATGTATGTGTGTGTGTATTATATATATAGCGTATTTTCATTATTTCCCAGGATTGGAACTCACCTGCTTTGTTTGCAGTGTACTCTACCTCTTGAGCCATGTCTCCAAGCCCTGCTGTTTATTTTTTTTTTAAGTTTTAGCAAGGATTTATTTTAATATCACAAGGTTAAGGAGAAAGAGAAACATTTCCTGCTGGCCCGGGTTGGAAAAGGGAGGAAAAGACGCCAGCTGGTTGCTTTGGAGATAAGATCTCACGGCCTTTGTTGCTTGAGCTGGCTTCAAAGGGTAATCCTCTAGACCTCAGCCTCCTGGGTAGCTCTGATTACAGAGAGTGAATCAGCGGTGCTGCTCAGTAACTGTAACCGGTGGGTCATTTTGTCAGTTGCTGTAGCCCCCGGGTCAGTGAGTAAATTCAAGTTTGTGAATTAAACTCACACTAGAGTTTCCCAAACTGATGTTTGGGATTTTCTTCAGCTTAGAATGTAAGCAAACGTGAATATTCTGGTTGGGTTTTTTTTGAAGTTGTTGTGAGGTGTTTGTAGGCCTATGAAATCTGCACATTGGAGTAAGGTGCCTTTGGATCTAAAGCGTGGTATAGGACTTGTCCTGTTAGTAGTTTTCCATTCAATTAATTTGAAACCAGTAATTTGCCAACACACACTAAGTATGGAAGAACCCGCTTTTAGTGATTGCCCGCAGAAAATAGCGGTACACATAGGTGAAGAGATGACTTGATTCTCTCCTTCCCTCTCTCTCTCTCTCTCTCTCTTTCTCTCTCTGCTGAAACTTGAAGGAGAAAAGGGTAGGGATCAAGAACTGGGAAAAGTGAATGTTTGGAGATAAGTTATATGGTTGTGCTGGCCAAAAATAAGGAAACACATTTGAGGGTTTTGTTGTTGTTGTTGTTGTTATTTTAATTTGAAGAATTTATCTGGGCCTCAGTGGCTCACACATGTAACCCCAGTGACTCAGGAGGCTGAGATCTGAGGATTCTGGTTTGAAGCCAGCCCCGGAAGACAAACCTGAGAGACTCTTAGCCTCCTGATAGCTTGCAAAAAGCTGAACCAGGTGGTATGGCTTAAGTCAAGAAACGCTAAGGGACAGTGCCAAGGTCCTGAACACCAGAAGACAGATGGAAGTCTATAACGAATGCAGTCCTCGTGATGGGGCTGGTGGAGTTTTTGAAAAGATTTAAAGAGCAAAGGCACAAAGCAGAGAGGACGGAGGAGGGGTGGAGGGTGCTGTCCCTCAGCCCTTCAGCTCAAGGCTAGTGCTCTACCACTTGAGCCACAGCACCACTTCTGGCTTTTTTCTTTTTGCTTATGTGG